CGGCACACTGGGTTCTAGTCCTGGTCGGGGCACCAGATTGTGTCCCAGTCGCTCCTCTTCCTGTCCAGCTCTCTGCTGTGGCCCAGGAGTGCAGTGGAGGATGGCCCAAGTGCTTAGGCCCTGCACCTGCATGGGAGACCAGGAGAAGCACCTGGCTCCTGGCTCCGGATCAGTGCAGTGCGCCGGCCTCAGTGGCCACTTGAGGAGTGAACCAATGGAAAAAGGAAGACCTTTCTGTCTCTCTCTCACTGTCCACTCTGCCTTTCAAAAAAAAAAAAAATTCCTGATTGTGTTTGCATCATTTAGTTTTGACAGTTCTTTGCTCTCTGTATTCTTAATTCTAATAATTTTGGGTAGATTTCTTTGAAGTAGCATAATTTTACGATGGCCTTTTGAGTGAAGTGAAAAATTCCAGGGTATTAGAAATAGTGCATAGACAGTATAGAAGGGGGAAAGCTAAACAAAGGAGATTTGATTGGCATAAATGAAGTTCTGACTTGTTAATTTTAATAGAAGATAGTGAATCAGTGTGAATTAATATGGAACCCCAAATGAGCACTATAGGGGGAGCCTATATGAAATCAAAGGGGTAAAAATGATAAATGATTTTAGCAGTAGCTGGAAGATTAGTTCAAATGGAGAAAAGAGTTCTTCAGTATGATTCAGTAGTCAAGATCTGTGGGCCACATAAATGGGACAGTGGTGTTCCCTGGTGTTCTTTTTAAAATCTGTTTGACAGAGGCGTAGAGAGAAATTGGTCATATTTGCTAGTTCATTCCCCAAATGCCCACAACATACAGAACTGGGCGGGAGATGAATCTGGGAGCCGGTAACTCAGTCTAGGTCTCCTACATGGGTGGCAGGAACCCAAACGCTGTACCATCACTCCCCATTTGCCAGTGTCTGCGTTAGAGTGAGGGCCAGAACTGAGTATCAAACCCAGGTACTCTGATATGGTACATGGGCTTCTTTATTTTAGGCTTATTTATCATATATTTATTTATTTGAAAGAGTGATGAGAGAAGAGATATATTCCATCCAGTGGTTCACTCTCTAAATGCCTGCAACAGCCAAGACTGTGCCAGGCTGAAGCCAGGAGACAGGAACTCCATCTGAGTCTTGCATGTGAGTGGCAGGGACCAAAGTACTTGGGACATCATCTTCTGTCTCACAGGGTGGGCGTTAATGGGAAGCTGGAATTAGAAGTGGAGGCGAGACATCATCCCAGGTACTCTGATATGGAAGATAGGCATCTTAAATGGTGACTTAACCCATTGTGCCACAGGACTTGGGCATCTTAATTGTTTTAATAGCTAAGCTGAATGCCTGTTCACTTCCCCTTTGTTCTGATGAATTTTCGTAGGGTTTGGCAATGGGATGATGACGGGATAGAAGAAATTGGTGTCAGAATGAACATGAGAAAACCAGAAAATTACTTTGGAATTGTGTGGGATATGAGCTGAGAAAGGTGGTCAGATGGTCAGTTCTTTAAGAAAAAGGATTTTTAGATAATAAATGGCAAAGCTAAGGAGGTCAGATGATGAAACTGATATATAAAAGGCTACTTACTGGGGCTTTTAAAAATATTTTTCCTTAAAATGGGAGGAGTTAGTTATTGAGGGAAATTGGTGAGGACTTTAGCTTATACAAGGTTGGGTCTTTAAATGAAAGTAGGGAAGAGAACTGAGCAGCCTTAGAGGCATCCTACTGTTTGGGTGCCGCAAAAAGCAAATTAAATAGGCATAATTCTTACATTTTTGAACCTGTTATGCAGCTAAGCACTTATTGGGTATTCAAAGGAATGCACCAACATTTAAATAAAACAAAATAGTTTGTATAAAATCAGTCAAGTATAATTTTATTTGATGTGATCTCTCTGATAGTACTGTGGTTTTTAGTGTATTTATATAAATATATAGTACTTAACCAGTTTTGAGATTTATGACTAAATGTAATAATTACTTATAATAGATTACATAACAACTTTTCTTGTTATGGGAAATGACCAAGTGTTAAACTCCCATTCAGTGTCTTTCTGAGTAGTTAGGCTTGACTTATGCTTGCTCACTTATAGCTCTGCTGGATTTTCCAAGTATTAATTTTCTTTAAAAAAAAGATTTTATCTACTTATTAACTTGAAATACAGAGTGTCAGAGAGAGAGCGAGCGAGAGACAGCCAGAGATCTTTCATTTGCTGATTCATCCTCCAAATGACCACAGCAACCATATCTGGGCCAGGGCTAAGCCAGGAGTCAGGAACTCCATCCTGGTCTCCCATCTTCTGCTGCTTTCCCAGGTACATTAGCAGGAATCTGGATTGGACTCAAACAGCACTCTGAAATGGGAGGCAGGAGTCACAGGTGGCAGCTTAACCTGCCGCACCACAGCCCGGGCCCCTTCAGGCATTATTACTGAACCTTTGTGTTGGAATACAATGCCTCTCATGGTACTTTGAGCAGATTTTCTGTGAGGCTTCTCATTTAGCAAACAAATATGCATATACTTCTTTTTCTTAAATTTTAAAAATAAGCATTTTTAGTATTAATGTTTTTTGTATCTAAAGTTGAATGCACAAAAAGTGTCCAGTATCAGTTTATTTTTTTGGTTAATAATTCCCTGACATGACTTTGTAGACCAGTGCTGAACTATGTGACAAAATTTTCACAGGGAATATGGAATTCTTCCATAAATCTAGATATGTACAATGGAAAGGCCGTCTTTTTTTTTTTTTTTTTTTTTAAGATTTTTATTTATTTGAGAGGCAGAGTTACAGAGAGAGGGACAGAGAGGTCTTCTATCTGCTGGTTCACTCTCCAGATGGCTGCAATGGCTGGAGCTGAGCTGATCTGAAACCAGGAGCCAGGAGCTTCTTCCAGGTCTCCCATTTGGGTGCAGGGACTCAAGCACTTGGGCCGTCTTCTACTGCTTTCCCAGGTCATAGCAGAGAGCTGGATTGGAAGAGAAGCAATCGACACTGGAACCAGTGCCCATGTGGGATGCCGGCACTGCAGGTGGAAGCTTAGCCCACTACACCACAGCACTGGTCCTGTCCTTTTTTGAAAGTATGAACCGATTTTTGTCCTTTCTTCATTTTTAGTTTTCAGATGTTTGATTATTTTGGAGGAAAGATAGTTTTTAACTTCATAAAATTTGGGAGAAAATTTTTTTGGTTTATGAGAGCCAAATATTTGGAAGTCACGCTTTTAAGATTTTTGGGGGCAGACATTTGGCTTTGCAGTTAAGACACTTGCCTTCCATGTTGGAGTTCCTGGGTTCAAGACCCCATTCCTCTCCTGATTCCAACTTTTTGCTAATACTCACCAGCCTGTGCAGCAGCAGATGGTGACTTAAGTGATTGAAACCTGGAAGACTTGGATTGAGTTCCCAGTTCCCTGGTTCAGCCTGGCCCAGCTCTGCCAGTTGCAGGTAGTTGGGCAGTGAACCAGGGGATGGAAACTCTTCTGTCCTTCTGTCTATCCCTGTCTCTGTCTTAAGAAGATAAATAAAAATTTAGAAAAAGCCAAAATTTCTTCGACCATACACTGGAAGCTTTCAGGGCTGGGGAACTTTTTTTCTGCCAAGGGACATTGGCTATTTCCAAGATCATTCACAGGTCCATACAAAATCATCAACTTAAAAATTAGCCTGCTATTGATTATTGAATTTCTAGTTCTGCCTGCAGTTGCTTTAGTAGGGCCAGACCAAATGATTCTACCCTTGCTAAGTGCTTAATATATCAGAGAGACTCTCTTAAACTGAAATGGATAGGAATCTGTGATTCAATTTCCTTTTTAAAATATATACATTTTGGTTAGCTTTTGTTAGGTTATGGCGTGGTAATAAGCAGTTCCAATTTCCAATGGCTTTCATTGGTAAAGCTTTCTTATTTCTCATGCTTTATGCTGCAGTCCACAGGCAACTGTTGCAAAAAACACTAACAAAGAAGGAGGTACTTTCAATCTTCAAGCTTAAAAAGTATAACCAATCTTTTGAAGCCTCCATGTGCTTTTTCCACTTCCTCAAATGTGACCATGCCCTTGAAAATTTTTATTTATTTATTTATTTATTTATTTATTTATTTATTTTGATAGGCAGAGTGGACAGTGAGAGACAGAGAGAAAGGTCTTCCTTTGCTGTTGGTTCACCCTCCAATGGCCGCCACAGCTGGCGCGCTGCGGCTGGCACACCGCGCTGATCCGATGGCAGGAGCCAGGTGCTTCTCCTGGTCTCCCATGGGGTGCAGGGCCCAAGCACTTGGGCCATCCTCCACTGCACTCCCTGGCCACAGCAGAGAGCTGGCCTGGAAGAGGGGCAACCGGGACAGAATCCGGCACCCCGACCGGGACTAGAACCCTGTGTGCCAGTGCCGCAAGGCGGAGGATTAGCCTAGTGAGCCGTGGCGCCAGCCTGAAATTTTGATTTATCATAGTCTTCCTCATATATTGCATTGTTGAAAATGCCACAATTTATACTTTCTTATGGATTAATTTCAGTTTATTTTGTTAGTATGAAAAATGCTGTTAAGAACATTCCTTTTCTGGTATATAATGCAAGAGTTTCTTCCGGGTAGGTGCTTGGGGGGTGGAATTGCTGGCTCATGTCGGCTGTCTTCAACTTCAGTAGGACGTGCCAAATTATTTAACAAAGCCATTGACAGTTTACACTTGTACTTGTGGTGCTGTGTGTGTTAATGCTGCTTACATTCTTGTTTATGTTTGAAAGTCTAACTTGTCAAGTTTTTGGTCTGTTAGATGTAAATCAGATTTTCCTTTGAATATATTGGGAGATATTTCTTGCATGTTACTGAGTTCACAAATCATTTGGGATGACATTAAAGGTACAGATTTTGATTAAAAAAATCAGTGAGGACTGAGATCCTACATTTTTTAAAAAAGCTTTTAAATTTTTAAAATTTGTTTGAAAGGTAGAGTTAGGGAGGGAGGGAGAGAGAGAAAGAGACAGATTGATTGATGTTCTTATCCATTGATTTTCTCTCCAAGTGGCTGCAATAGCCAAGGTTCTGCCAGGCTGAAGCCAAGAACCTAGAGCTGCTTCTGGATCTCCCACGTGAGTACAGGGTCCCAAGCACTTGGGTCATCTCCCACTGCTTTCCCAGGACGTTAGCAGGGAGCTGGATTAGAAGTTACAGCAGCTGGGACACAAACTGGTGCGCTTATGGGATGCTGGCTTCACAGATGGTGGCTTTACCCACTATACCACAATGCCAGCCCTTATCCTACATTTTTATTTAAAGATTTATTTTATTTATTTGAAAGACAGAGTTACAGAGAGAGGTAGAGACAGAGAGAGAGGTCTTCCATCACTGGTTCACTCTCCAGATGGTTGCAATGGCTGGAGCTGTGTTGATCCGAAGCCAGGAGCTAGGAGCTTCTTCCAGGGTCTCCCACGTGGGTGCAAGGGCCCAAGGACTTGGGCCATCTTCTACTGCTTCCCCAGGCCATGGCAGAAAGCTGGATCAGAAGAGGAGCAGCTGAGACTAGAACCAGCACCCATATGGGATGCCGGTGCTTTAGGCCAGGGCTTTAACCTGCTGTGCCACAGCGCCAGCCCTTGATCCTACATTTTTAACAAGCTCTCAGATGATGCCAGTGCTATTGGACCAATACTTCACATAACAAGGATCTAAGGTACTAAGTCAGAATTGCCGTTGTGTTTGCCATGCTTATCATCTAAAGAGTCTTTGGAACAAAACTGTTAAATAATATTTAATGCAGCCAACTCAATCAATGTGTTTGAATCATGGCACATAAAGGTTTTTTATTTTTAAAGATTTATTTATTTGAGGGCCGGCGCCGTGGCTCACTAGGCTAATCCTCCACCTAGCGGCGCCGGCCACCGGGTTCTAGTCCCGGTTGGGGTGCTGGATTCTGTCCCGGTTGCCCCTCTTCCAGGCCAGCTCTCTGCTGTGGCCAGGGAGTGCAGTGGAGGATGGCCCAAGTGCTTGGGCCCTGCACCTCATGGGAGACCAGGAGAAGCACCTGGCTCCTGCCTTCGGATCAGCGCAGTGCGCCAGCTGCAGCGCGCCAGCCGTGGCAGCCATTGGAGGGTGAACCAATGGCAAAGGAAGACCTTTCTCTCTGTCTCTCTCTCTCTGTCCACTCTGCCTGTCAAAAAAAAAATTATTTATTTGAAAGGCAGAGTTACAGCGGGAGAGGGAAAGAGAGAGCGAGAGAGAGAAGGGAAACAGAGAGAGAGAGAGAGAGAGAGGGAGAAGGAAAAGGAGAGACAGAGAGAGCTGCTCTCTGTTGGTTCACTTCTGAAATAGCTGGAAGAGCTGTGGCTGGGCCAGGCTGAAGCAGAAGCTTCTTCCAGGTCTCCCACATGAGTGGCAGGGATCCAAACACTTGGATCTTCCTCTGCTTGCTTTTCCTATGCCATTAACAGGGAGCTGGATCAGAAGTGGAGCAGCCAGGACATGAACCAGCACCTGTATGGGATTCTGGCATTGCAGGTGGTGGCTTGACCTGCTACACCACAACTCCGGGCCCCCAGTGCCAATTTCTTGATTTCCTGTATTCTTAGAAGTGTAAGACAGGCCTATACACTCCCGAGAAACACCTGAGGCCTCGAGACCCATTGTGATAGGTGGCTTTGAGAGTCTTTCCAGCTGTAGCAGCAGTAGTACAAATGGGCTCTGTATGTATACCTAGCATATGAGGATACTTCAGAAAGCACATGGGATCATGGAACTAAAGGATGAATTTATTTTGGTGCTCAAAATTTTTGATATCCATGCAGACTTTTGAATTTGTGTTTTCCATGAACTTCTTTTTCTTTTTCATTTTAGATTATTTATTTATTATTTGAGATTTATAGACAGAGGGAGAGACATTCTCTCCTGCCGGTTCACTCCCCAGATTGCTGCAACAGCTGGAGCTGGGCTGAACTGGAGCCAGGAACCAGGAGCTTCCTCTGGGCTTCCTATTCAGGTACAGGGGCCCAAGCACTTGAGCCACCTTCCACTGCTTTCCCAGGCCATAAGCAAAGAGCTAAATTGGAAGAGGAGCAGCCAGGACACGATCCAGTGCCCATGTGGGATACTGGCACTGCCTGGCTTGCTATGACACAGTGCTGGCCCCTTTCTGCTAACTTCTTGAGGATCCCCTGTGTTCATGGATTTCATTTTTTTCCACCAAAATAAGATTATTTAATTACATTTCCTGTGAATTTTTTGGAGTACTCTCATATGTCCTTTGCAGCTTCAGTGTCCATCACTGTCTGACTAGTTGCAGTGTGTCTGTGTCTCTTAGTTCCAAGTCTTTAGGGAAAATCTGTTTATGGGTCAGCCATTCAAGGTCCTTCCCTGGGGTTATGGCTCAGAGCAGATTTGAGAAGTGTGAATGGACAGAGTGCACTTTTAAATAAATGCAAGCTTTCTTTGGCTTGCGAAAGGCAGGACATGTATACATGTAATCTCTTTTCAGTTTGATGATTTCCTAAATAACAGAAGGAATTGTGTTCCTAAGTCTCTTATAATGGATTTCTGTGTGTGTGTGTGTGTGTGTGTGTGTCAGTGTCAGAGCTGCAAATACGAATATGACTTCAACCTAATTTTATACCTGAAATAAATGCCCCATACAGTATAAAGGACATCTGCAAGTTTGTTTTAACAAGTAAACAGCATCATTATCTCTTCATATTTTAATAGCAAAATATATCAAGTTGTAGATAAAGTGATAGGGCTTATTATTTAATGTTTTAAGTAAAACACTGTATACAAACGGGTGTTAAGGGTTGTAGCAATTTGATTCTGAGTCTTCTCTATAGGAGTGGAAACCATCACTTTTTGAAGTAAGTTTGTCCACTGCAGAACTTCAGAGGGAGTTGAAGACCTTGTGTAGATACTAGTTACATAAAGTATACAAAGATAAGAAATGCTTTTCATCAAAATGAGCCCACATAATAGCTTTGTAATCTATTTCTATACACAACAGCAATAGTATGGCACAAAGAAGCTATGTTTTAAGCCCATGAAGTACGGTATCAATACTGTAGGGTTGAAGAACTCATGTGTTTTCTACATCTAAATATGATAATCTAAACATTGAGATAGTTAATATTATTTATCTTAAAATTAAATTTTCATTTTTTATTTGAGAGGCAGAGAGGAAGAAAGAACCATAGAGAATTCTCATCTGCTAGTTCACTCCTCAGGTTCCCACAACAGCTAGGAATGAGCAAGGAGCTGGGAATTCCTTCCAGATCCCCCGCGTAGTGGCAGTGACCCAATCTCTTGAGCCAGTCTCTGCTGTCTCTGGTAGTTTGTGTTGGTGGATGCTGGCATCACAAGCCAGAGCCAGAAATTGAACCCAGGTGCTCTGATATGGGACATGGTGTCTTAATTGGTATTTTAACCAATAAGTCAAATGCCTGTTTCAAATAATTTAATTTTTTAATTTTTTTCTTTCCAGATCCAGTCCCTTTGTGGAACTTCTGAACACCTTTTATTAGTGAAGGCATTTTCTACACAATGAAGCTAACAACTTAATTTAAACAAGTGTTTATGTGGTTCTGCTTCATCTGCTATGGTTCACGGCGCTTGAGATCTCAGGAGTACCGGATCTTTTGCAATGACAATATGACTAATAGTAAAGGAAGATCTCTTACTAATAAAACAAATGGTGGTTTAGGTAGTGGAGGAGGCTGTGTAGACTGGACTTTAAATTTAAACACAATTCAGTCTGATAAGTTTTTAAACTTACTGTTGAGTATGGTTCCAGTAATTTACCAGAAAAATCAAGAAGAGAGGCACAAAAAAGCAAATGGCATTTGGCAAGATGGACTATCAGTGGCAACACAGACTTTTAGCAATAGATCTGAGCAACACATGGAATACCACGGTTTCTCAGAACAGTCTTTTCACGGTAATAATGGACATATACCATCAGGTTGTAGCCAAAAGTATGATGACTATGCCAACTATAATTACTGTGATGGGAGAGAGACTTCAGAAACTACTGCCATGTTACAAGATGAGGATATATCTAGTGACGGGGATGAGGATGTCATTGTGGAAGCAAGCCCAAAATTACCGAGAGAGTCCAGTGGCATCATGGCATTGCAGATACTTGTGCCGTTTTTGCTGGCTGGCTTTGGAACAGTTTCAGCTGGCATGGTTTTGGATATAGTACAGGTGAGTTTTCTGCTTTCACTGGATTGTCTTTTTGTTACTGCATTTCTGTTTAAAATGTTGTATATAGGCTATTAATCCCAAATATTTATTTAGATTTTATTATTCCTTCATAAAGTGAGTGGCTGCTGCCTCTGGTAGACAATCTTCTTTTTTTAGATGTGGTTCAAACTTGCCCCCCCCCCCCCCCGAAGTTCTGATCATTCTGATCATAAAATAGTGCTTCTCTATAGATCCAAAAATAGGTCAGAGTATCATCCATTCTTCATCTATAAAACTCTCCTCTTCTCCAGACATTACTATCATTAAGAGGTTGTTATATATTGCAAACTTTCTTCTCTGCTTGTATATGAGTACATACATTAATGTGAATTATTTTCAAAAATGAAAATGAAATACTATTTTTGTGAAGCTAATTTTCATTGCTTGATAGTACATTCTGTACATCTTTCCAAATTGGTATATGAAGATTTTCTGTATTTTAAAATATTTCATCTTCCATTGTAGATGGAATTTTACTTATTCTTCATTGCAGATGTAAATTTATTTATTCTTCTATACTAGTGTGAAAATAATCCTTAGAAGTATATTTTTATACTAATATAAATATCTCCATAGGATAGATTTAAAAAGTGGTATCTTTGGGTATTAGGCTATGTTTAAAATTTTATGGACACTTGTAAATTACCTTTCAAAAAGTTTGTAGTAGGCCGGCGCCGCGGCTCACTAGGCTAATCCTCCGCCTAGCGGCGCTGGCACACCGGGTTCTAGTCCCGGTCGGGGCGCCGGATTCTGTCCCGGTTGCCCCTCTTCCAGGCCAGCCCTCTGCTGTGGCCAGGGAGTGCAGTGGAGGATGGCCCAGGTGCTTGGGCCCTGCACCCCATGGGAGACCAGGAAAAGCACCTGGCTCCTGGCTCCTGCCATCGGATCAGCGCGGTGCGCCGGCCGCGGCGCGCCAACCGCGGCGGCCATTGGAGGGTGAACCAACGGCAAAGGAAGACCTTTCTCTCTGTCTCTCTCTCTCACTGTCCACTCTGCCTGTCCAAAAAAAAAAAAAAAAAAAAAAAGTTTGTAGTAATTTGTACCATACTACTGATATGTAAATACTGTTCTTTTTCTTTTTTTATTTAAATATTTACTTATTTATTTGAAAGGCAGAATTACAGAGAGGCAGAGGCAGAGATAGAGAGGTCTTCCATCTGCTGGTTCACGCCCCAAATGGCTGCAACGGCTGGAGCTGGGCCTATCTGAAGTCAGGAACCTGATACTTCTTCTGGGTCTCCCGCGTGGGTGCAGAGAGAGGCCCAAGGACTTGGGCCATCTTCCGCTGCTTTCCCAGGTGTGTTAGAGAGCTGGATAGGAAGTGGAGCAGCCAGGACTCGAACTGGCGCCCATATGAGATGCTGGCACTGTAGGCAGCAGCTTTACCCACTACGACATAGCGTTGGGCCCAATGCTTTTATTTTTCTAAGATCCTAACAACATTTAGAAATTCTTTTTTTTTTTTTTTTTTTGTTTTATTTTCATTTATTTGAAAGGCAGAGTGATAGAAACGTGGAGACATAGACAGAGATCTTCCATCTGTTGCTTGACTCCTAAAATGGGCCACGATACCCGCAGCTGTGCCAGGCCAAAACCCGGAGCCTGGAATTATATCCAGATTTCCCATAAGGGTGGTAGTGGCCCTGGTACGTGAGCTATCTTCTGCCTTCCCACCAGGGAGCTGTATTGGAAGTGTAGCAGCCAGGACTCAAACTGGTGTCTGTATGGGATGATGGCATCACAGGTGGTACCCTGACCCACTGTGCTACAAGGCTGGCCCCCTAGAAATTCTTGACCTTTTTTATTTTTGCCAAATGACAACAAAATGTTATCATACTTTAATCAACGTTTTTCATTATTTTAAAAAATTTTATTTATGTTTATTTATTTGGAAGGCAGAGAGAGACAGAGAGAAATTGTCCGTCTGCTGGTTCACTCCCCAAATGCTTACAACAGCTAGGGCTGGACCAGATGAAAGCCAGCAGCCTAGAACTCAAGCTGAGACTCCCGTGTGGGTGGTAGGGACTACTATGTGAGCCATCTCCTGCTGCCTCCTAAGGTATGCATTAACCAGGAGCCAGAATCCGAAGCAGAGCTGGACTCAAATTCAAGCACTCTGATATGGGATGTGGGTGCCTCCAGTGGCATCCCAACTACTGCGCCAAACGTAAAATACTAAATGTTTAGTATCTTTTCTTATTTTTCCTGTGAATTCATCTGGTATCTTTTATCCATTTAAAAATTTATGTGCCACTTACTGATTTGTAGGAGTTCTGTATTATAGCCAGAGTACTACTCATTATATAATTATCTTTTTAAAGTAGTAAATTGCCAAAATGTAACATTCTGTTGTTGTCAGTTTTCATTTTTTAGTCAGAGAAAGGTGGGCTCTGGGAAAGTGCCAGATCCATCATCCTGTAATGTGCCTTTGTCTTGCATTGGTTGCTTCATGGAAGAATCTCAGATCGTTGTGACTGTAAGACACTATTCCACAGATAGCATGTTTTTCTAAATGGAAAATGTACATAAATTGAAACATTTTCCCACCATCAGTAGGAGAAATTATGTAAGTTATGTGGAATTTTAAAATAGATAACAATACCAGTACCAGTGGGGAATGAAACCTATCAACTTAAAATAATTATTGCAAGTCATCACAATGGTACCACAGCTGCTACAGCAAATAAGCTGATTATGGTTCATTTCTCTTTTTAAAAAATTATTTATTTATTTAATTTGAAAGGCAGAGAGGCATAGAGAGAAAGCAAAAGAGAGGGAGGGAGAGCAAGTCAGGGCAAGAGAGAGCTTTTATCCACTGGTTCACTCTCCAAATGTCCATAATAGGCAGCACTGGGCCAGGCCAAGGCCCTGGGCAAGGAACTTAATTCAGGTCTCCCATATAGATGGCAGGAACCCAATTACTTGAGACATCACCTGCTGCCTCCCAGCATCTTCCACTGCTTTCCCATGCCATAGCAGAGAGCTGGATTGGAAGTGGAGCAGCTGAAATTTGAACCAGCACCCATATGGGATGTCACCACTGCAGGCGGTGGCTTTACCTGATAAACCACAGCGCCGGTCCCTGATTATTTTATTTATAGATGTGTAGGAGTTATTGATATATTAATGTTACTTTTACCTAAGCATCTTTAAAAATTTCTTCATCATAACCAGATCTGTGAATATGGGCAATTTTATTTCATTTTCAATCTTTTTTTTAAAGATATATTTATTTATTTGAAAGAATTACAGAGAAAGGAGAGAGAGAGATCTTCATCTGCTGGTTCACTCCCCGAATGGCCACAATGGCCAGGGTTGGGGTAGGCCAAGGCCAGGGAGCTAGGAGCTTCATCTGGCTCTCCAGCGTGGCTGCAGGGCCCAAGTACTTTGCCAGGTGCAGTAGCAGGGAGCTGGCTTGGAAATGGAGCAGCCGGGTCACGAACCGGTGCCTATATGGGATGCCCCTTGTTGTTTTTCAATCTTACCTTTTTATCTATTTCAGAAAATGTAGTTTGTTTAACATTAAAATGTTAATATAATTAAGTATATGTATAGTAAAAAGGGAAAATAATACCAGTTTAATAAGACATTTGATAAAATTATATATAGATCTATGATTAAAAAATGAAAGTCTAGAACCAATGGCTAGAAAAGATATTCCCTAATCTGATAAATGGTCCTACCAAAAAATCTATAGCAAAGATCACACTAAGAAGTAAAATATAAAAATATTTCCTCCTGAAGTTGGGACTAAGACAAAGATATTCACTATCACCATATCTAATATTGTTCTATAACTACAAGAGGCAAGAAAAAAATAAAATATGTAGACTTTGGCCGGCACCGCAGCTCAATAGGCTAATCTTCCGCCTGCGGCGCCAGCACACCAGGTTCTAGTCGTTGTCCGAGCGCCAGATTCTGTTCCAGTTGCCCCTCTTCCAGGCCAGCTCTCTGCTGTGGCCCAGGAGTACAGAGGAGGATGGCCCAAGTCTTTGGGCCCTGCACCCACATAGGAGACCAGGAGAAGCACCTGGCTCCTGGCTTCGGATCAGCGCGATGTGCTTGCCATTGGAGGGTGAATCAACAGCAAAGGAAGACCTTTCTCTCTGTCTCTCTCTCTCTCTCTCACTGTCCACTCTGCCTGTCAAAAAAAAAAAAATATATATATATATATATAGACTTTAAGCAGAAGGAAAAAATGTCATTATATGAAAATAAGATTTGTATATCTAGAAAATTCAAAATAACCTATAGGTAAATTATTTGGATTATATTATTTGAATTATATTTATTGGATTAATTTTTGGGTTATAGTGGTTTTTCCCCCCATAACCACCCTCCCACCCGCAAACCATCTCATCCCGTACTCCCTCTCCCATCCCATTCTTCATTAAGATTCATTTTTAATTATCTTCATATGCAGAAGATCAACTTAGTATATGTACTAAGTAAAGATTTCAACAGTTTGCACCCACATAGACACACAAAGTATTAAGTACTGTTTGAAGATTAGTTTTACCATTAATTCTCATAGAACAACACATTAAGGGCAGAGATCCTACTTGGGGAGCAAGTGCACAGTGACTCCTGCTGTTGATTTAACAGTTGGCACTCTTATTTATGACGTCAGTAATCACCCAAGGCTCACTGTCATGAGCTGCCAAGGCTATGGAAGCCTCTTGAGTCCACAAATTCCGACCTTATTTAGACAAGGCCATGGTCAAAGTGGAAGTTCTCTCCTCCCTTCAGAGAAGGGTACCTCCTTCTTTGATGGCCTGTTCTTTCCACTGGGATCTCACTCACAGAGATCTTTCATTTAGGTCATTTTTTGCCACAGTGTCTTGGCTTTCCATGCCTGAGAAACTCTCATGGGCTCTTCTGCCAGATCTGAATGCCTTAAGGGCTGATTCTGAGGCCAGAGTGCTGTTTAGGGCATTTGCCATTCTATGAGTCTGCTGTGTATCCCGTTTCCCATGTTGGATCATTCTCTCCTTTTTAATTCTATCAATTATTATTAGCAAACACTTGGTCTTATTTATGTGATCCCTTTGACACTTCATCCTATCTTTATGATCAGTTATGAACTTAAACTGATCACTTTAACTAGTTCAGATGGCATTGGTACCTGCCAACTTAATGGGATTTGGAGTCCCATGCACGTTTCTAGCTTTACCCTTAGGGGTAAGTCTGAGTGAGCATGTGCTGCACTGTACTTCTCCTCTGTCTCTTATTCCCACTCTTATTTTTAATAGGGATCAATTTTTAGTTGGATTTAAACTCCTAAGAATAATTGTGTTTTAATTAAAGAGTTAAACCAATGGTGTTAAGTAGAAAAAGAAAATACTAAGAAGAATAAATTAGTAAGCTGTTCCTTGACAGTCTGGTCAAGAGCTGATCAAGTCATTGTTTCTCATAGTGTCAGTTTCACTTCTGCAGGTTTCCTTTTAGGTTCTCAGTTAGTTGTCACAGATCCGGGAGAACACATGATATTTGTCCCTTTGGGACTGGCTTATTTTACTCAGCAGATTCCTCCATTTTGTTGCAAATGACTATATTTCATTTTTTTACCACTGTGTAGTATTCTATAGAGTACATATCCCATAATTTCTTTATCCAGTTTTTTGGCATAAAGTTAATATGCCTAGTCCATGAAGTCTTGCTGGGATAGTCACTTCTTAATAGCATTTGTAAAATTTCACTTAGTGTTATTAAATATTTGTAAGATCTTTACAATTTAGAAAGCATGTGAGTGTCTGTTTTCTTTTTTATGTTATTTCTCCAGAGGCTAGATAGGATGGATATAATCTTTATTTTAGGGATGAAGAAATTGAGATCACAGATGTGACTCATCGAGGATCACACAGGCAGTTAGTAACAAATCCAGGATTTGAATCACAAATCTTGTATCCAGTTGAGTGCTGTCCATTTTTTGACCTTGGGAAAAGTATTTAACCTCTCTGAATCTTTATTTTTATAATTTGTGAAATTAGATAATAGTGCTGTAATTATCCTGTGGAATTGTGTAATTGATGTTGGAACCAGGATTCAAATCCAGATGATCTACCCTTGAGTCTGTGTTTTTAACTGCTAGCTGTCCTATCTCTTGCCATTATAAAGGAATACAGTTTAAGAGCATAAGGATTGTGTAGCAAGCTAGATACAGAATTAGATGCAGTTACCTGTCAGGCATCACTGAGTCTTTTAAAGTAACTCAAAGCTTCAAAGCTCAGGAGGATGGGGTTAAGCTAAATGTTCTCTGATAAAATGACGTACATAGTCATTCAAAATGGAAATGCAAACTTGAAAAGATGGCTGGGATTATTAGTAATGTCTTTGCTTTAAAATATTTTTTTATTTAAAGTGTCAGAAAATTTTATCTTATTTTTACAGCACTGGGAGGTGTTCAAAAAAGTTACAGAAGTTTTCATTTTAGTTCCTGCGCTCCTTGGTCTCAAAGGGAACTTGGAAATGACATTGGCATCCAGATTATCCACTGCAGTAAGTTTTTTCCTACCTCACCGTGTGTATATGACCTGTACTGCTTCTCTCTTTTATGGAGAGCCTGTATCAGGAAAAGAGATTTTTCTTTGTCTATCAAGTAAAATTCTAGACCTCAGATCTGTGCTAAGTAGGTTATACCTGATATCATACCCTGGAAATTATTATGGATGTGTAATCTCAAGAAAAAGAAATTTGCCTCCTCTGATGCTAGGGTGTCCTAGCTATTATATTCTGTGCTTAAGACATGGAGTGAGTCAGTTACTGAGATTCTTTAAGGTTTGGTGGTTGGTCGATTGGTATTTCAATTTTTTATGATCATAGAAGTAATATATGCTTATTGTAAAAACTGAATTAAAGGGGAAAAAGTGTAAAGAGAAAAACTTACCACCACCCCTTGTCCTCTACCTAGATATAATCACTATTAATATTTTGGTATAGATCCTTCTATACCTGCGTATCCATGCTTACACTTGATTAGATATATCTCCCATATGGGTGGCAGGGACCCAATTTCATGTGCTCCCTCTCAGAGTACACATTAACAGGAAGCTAGAGTTGGAAGTAGAGCTGAGACTCAAACTTAGACACTCCATTGTGGGGCTGTGGCATCCCTAGTGGTATCTTTTTTTTTTCTTTTTTTTTTTTTGACAGGCAGAGTTAGAGAGAGAGAAAGGTCTTCCTTTTTCTGTTGGTTCACCCCCAAATGGCCGCTACTGCCAGCGCGCTGTGCCAATCCGAAGCCAGGAGCCAGGTGCTTCCTCTTGGTCTTCCATGCGGGTGCAGGGCCCAAGGACTTGGGCCATCCTCCACTGCACTCCCGGGCCACAGCAGACAGCTGGCCAGGAAGAGGAGCAACTGGGACAGAATCTGGCGCCCCAACTGGGACTAGAACCTGGTGTGCCGGTGCCACAGGCAGAGGATTAGCCTAGTGAGCCATGGCACTGGCTCCCTAGTGGTATCTTAATGACTGCACCAATTGACTACCCCTTTTTTACTTAAAACAAACTTGAAAGTTTGAAAGCTAACTTTTTCATTTATGTGCAGGACTTTTATAATTTCTTCTGATGCTTCTGTGTAGTATTTATTGTCAATTATAAAAGTAAGGGTAAAATATCATAGCTATAGAAGGCCATTCTGTGGTTACCTTAATCTTTTTGCTTTATTAAAGGGTCTTTTGTCATTTTTATGATTATTTGCAGGAGAATTAGTATAAATAAGATTATAGGATTTAAGGAAGGCCTTCAGAAAATATATAGAGAATGTTAAACATAAGGTATAGGAATTTAGCCTACTCAATCTGTTGAAGATCAGCTATCTTTAACGCTTGTTATTATATAAAAGTGGAGATTAAATGCTCATGGATAAAAAGATGTGTTGATAAAATAGTTTTCATATTTTAACAAGGAAATTAAATCATGATGAATCCAAATGACTTTATTTTGTCCTTTTGAGTCAAAACTTATCTCTAAACTGATTAGCTTGAAAAATTTCCCTTATCTTTTTTTTTTTTTTTTTTTTTGACAGGCAGAGTGGATAGTGAGAGAGAGAGAGACAGAGAGAAAGGTCTTCCTTTTCCACTTGTTCACCCTCCAATGGCCACCACGGCTGGCGTGCTGCAGCCAGCGCACCACGCTGATCCGATGGCAGGAGCCAGGTGCTTCTCCTGGTCTCCCATGGGGTGCAGGGCCCAAGCACTTGGGCCATCCTCCACTGCCCTCCCGGGCCACAGCAGAGAGCTGGCCTGGAAGAGGGGCAACTGGGAAAGAATCCGGTGCCCCGACCGGGACCAGAACCTGATGTGCTGGCGCCGCTAGGTGGAGGATTAGCCTACTGAGCCGCGGCGCCGGCCTTTTTTTTTTTTTTTTCCCTTCTTATCTTTTTAATGATTTGGGAAAAAATTATAGTAAAAATATAGTAAAATCATTATAAAAATAAATTAACAGTAGTATATAATTAGAAAATAAGTACAGCGATTGTATAAATTGTTGAGTTAAAAGGTCTATGATCTAAGGTCTAAAATTTTTGAATGCTGATGTAAGAATAAAAACCGCTGTCCACAGTCCTAAAGATTTTATATCTATATATCAAATATTTATTTACTTATTTATTTGAAAGGCAGAATCACAGAGAGAGTGGAAGAGATAGAGATTTCCATCTGCTGGGTCACTCCCTAGATCACCACAGTGGCCAGGACTGGGCTAGGCTGGAGCTGCTGGGACTTGAACTGGTGCTCATATAGGATGCTGGCATCATAAGTTGCAACTTAACCTGCTGTGCCACAATGTCAACCCCAACATATATTTTTTGAAAAGCCTTTAATACTTTATTTGGAGTAACTGGCTTAGCACAATGTGAAGAGCACTTTTTATTTTTATTTAAAGATTTATTTTTTATTTATTTGCAAGGCAGAGTCACAGAGAGAGAACAAGAGACAGAGAGCTCTTCCATCTACGGGTTCATTCTCCCAGTGGCTGCAGCGGCCGAGGCTGAGCAAGGTCAAAGCCAGGAATCTGGAGCTTCTTTGAGGTCTCCCACATGGGTGCAGGGGCCCAAGCACTTGGGCCATCTTCTGCTTCCCCAGGCACATTAGCAGGGAGCTGGGTCAGAAGTGGAGCATCTTGGTCTTGAACTGGTGCCTATATGGGATGCCGGTGTTGCAAGTGGAGGCTTAACTTGCTACACCACTACGCCAGTCTGATGAGTACTTTTCTACTTTAAACAGAACTAACTTCTGCTTCAAACTTTTCCAAGAACTTTTTTTTTTTTAAAGATTTTATTTATTTGAGAAGCCAGAGTTACAGACAGAAGAGAGAGAGAAAAGCCTTCCATTTGCTGGTTCACTCACCAGATGGCCACAGTGGCTGGAGCTGGGCCAATCTGAAGCCAGGAGCTTCTTCTGGGTCTCTCATGTGGGTGCAGCGGCCCAAACAGCTGGGCCATCTTTCACTGTTTTTCCCTAGGCACATTGGCAGGGAGCTGGATCAGAAGGGGGATTGCAGGGTCTCCAACAGGCACCCATATGGGATACTGGCACCACAGGACCTTCTGTGCCACAGTGCTGGCCCCTAAGGATCTTTCTTAAACTATAAATATCAATCTGTAGTCATAACTTTGTGGAATAGGACTATTTATATTTAATCCGAAACTGTTTCAGTCAAGTAAGTTTTAGCTTCCTACTGTTTTGCAGCTTTTTTGAGATGTAATTGAGTTACAGTAAACTACACACTTTTGAAGTTTATGGTTCAGTGAGTTTTAATATTTAATATATACCTGTAGATCTGTCATCACAGTCAAGACAGTGAATGTTCAGGAAGATATTAGTTTGTGTGTATTTTAGTATGCACATTTTATTATAAAGTCTTTGGATTATATAAAAGTAAATACCAGGATTTCTGATTCCAGTTAGTGCAGAATGAAGTATTTGGATGAACCTTCCTAAACATTCATAATTACAGTATTCAGAGGAGTTACTTGAAGGTGATGGAAAGTGAAAGGGAGAAAAAAAAAAGAGTTTGCCCTAAAAAGACCATAACTACAATGGGTAAGAATTGAAGAGTTTGTGGTGATTTTGCCCATAGGAGTTCCCTAATCTCTGATCTCATGTGGCAGAGACCTTACAGTCTTGCCAGTCTGTGACAGAAGACATAGTTCAGAGCTGCCAGAACAGCTGGAAATTTAAGAATTTAGGGAAGAAATTCTAGAAGTAAAGAAGAGCTAAGACCTCCAATCTGAGTATAAGATTTGCTCAAACTAGGGACTTGGGCCATATTCTACTGCTTTCCCAGGCCACAGCAGAGAGCTGGATTGGAAGAGGAGCAGCTGGAACATGAACTGGTACCCATATGGGATACTGGCACTGCAGGCAGCAGTTTTACCCACTATACCATAGTGTCGGCCCCAAGAAGTTTTTAAGATACAGGAAGAAATGTGAAGTGGACCAACATTTAAAAAACTAATATATTGGCTAAGATTTGTATTTTGCTTGTTTTTTTTTTTTTTTCCTGAGTGTCTTGTATGACCTATTCATGGCTATAGTGTCATAAAGTAGTCTTCTTGGCTTCAGTTATCAGATGACAAGCTTGGACCTGACAAAGCAAGTGGAAATTTTGGGGGCTGTCCTTGAAGTAGAGTTCTGCAGAGAGAGTGAGCCCCCAAATCTGAGTATGAATGCTGCCAAATCTTTGGTTGGCTATGAAACTACAGAGATGTAGAAGAGTTCTCTAAAAGGCTAGACTAAATAAAGAGCAATCATTTGTAACCAAAAGAACCCAGCAGAGAGATGAGCTACTCTGTACTATGGGAGAGGAGAGACAAGAATCTATGCTTTGAGTCTAGGCAAGTCAGCTGCTGCCGATTAGAAGGAGAACCCACTACTCCTCACAAGAAGATAACAATATCCAGAGTCACTGTAATTGATTACACTGTTTTCTAGCCAAAAATTACTAGATATGAAAAGAAACTGAAAAATGTGATTCATATTCAAAAAAAGTATGATTCATACGCAGTCAATGAAAAACATATCCATGTGGGCTGATGTGAGACTTAACAGTCTTTCAAGGAAACTGGTATAATATATTCAAAGATCTAAAGCAGAGTATATTAGAATAATTAAATGTCTTAATGAGTGAACTAGTTGGTGTTTCTGTGAAATTATTGACCCATTTTTCTAGTACTTTAAGATATGTGTAGGGACCAATGCCATGGCATAGTAGGTTAAGTCCCCACCTGTGGCACTGACATCCCATATGGGCACTGATTTGTGTCCTGGCTGCTTCTCTTCCTATCCACCTCTCTGCTGATGGCCTGGGAAAGCAGCACAGGATGGCCCAAGTCCTTGGGCCCCTGTACTCGTGTACATGTACCAGAAGAAGCTCTTGGTACTTGGCTTCAGATTGGCCCAGCTCTGGCCGTTTGGGGAGTGAACCAGCAGATGAAAGATATATTCTCTCTCTCTCTCTCTCTCTCTCCCCCCCCACCCCTTCTCTCTGTCTGTAACTCTGCCTTTCAAATATATACATAAATCTTAAAAAAGATCTATAATTTAAAAAAATTTGGGGTACACAGAAGTCTTTATTAGATCATGGTCTATTACATCATCTTCCATGTTCTTGATTTCTCTAGCTGAACACCATTACGTCAGCTAATCAAATAAAGTAGGTCTAGCAAAGACCTTTAGACAGAACACTCAAACTTTCCCCTCTCCACCTCTGTGGGAAACAGGTGTTTCATGTTATCCCTAAACTAATAGATAACAGAATGGGTTAGTCCAATTCTTGGTACAATTTTTACAAGTTGGAAGCAATAAAATCAATTTTCCATGTTCTTACATACCACATTCATTCCCCAGTGCCTGCCTATAGCATAACTATTTTTCTTAACAGGTAGATTTGAGTCATTATTTATTTTTAGTTTACTTTTAATCTTTCTAAAATCTTTGCTTTATAAAGTTATTCATTAATATATTCTTTATTTTTTATATTACATATGGGTTTAGTTATTTTATACTAAAGTAATTGAAGATTCAGGAACTTCTAGATCTGTAAGGAACAGAGTATGATCTTTATCATTTTGTAACATGGAGTAATTGAATAAAGTTCTACTGTCAGTCTGGGATTGATCAGGGAAGCAGAACCATGGTGTATATTGTGGCAGTGAGTATTTAACAAAAGAAGTTGGACAAATTTGGGGGAGGTTGGAGAAGTGATCTGTGGTAGGAGAATCAGGGAGGTAGCCTGAAGCACTAGAGCAGGGGGAGAAAACCACATGTGTCCTGCAGCAAAGAGGTCTGCACTCCAGAACTAATGGCCTTTGCTTCATTTGGGCCTTCCAAATCTTAGGCAAGTTTCATTCACTGGCAGACTGTAGCCTAATGCTATAGCTAATGTTATATATGAGGAATTTACTTGCAGGCCTTAGAAAGTACTGCTGCTGATGGTATCAGGTGAATTTGTCACAGTTACATTGTGCCACTCCCACTTTTGTTGATCCTTTTCTACACCCTAATGTATAAATATTTACAGTGGCCATTATGCAGCCCTGGAGTCTTTATGTCTTATACTTTTTCATGTGATCATTTTAAATTGCTTCCTGTATGTATAGATACCTAAGAAGTCTTTTTATAAAATTTTTTAAGGTTTATTTATCTGAGAGACAAATCTTTCATTCACTGGTTCACTTCCCAAATGGTTCCAACAGCCAGGGCAGGGCCAGACCAAAGCTAGGAGCCTGGAACTCCATACGGGTCTCCCACGTGAGTGCAGGGGCCCAAACACTTGGGTAATTTTCCACTGCTTTCTCAGACACATTCACAGGGAGCTGGATTGAAAGTGGAGCAGACAGAATGCGAACTGAAGCCCATACGGGATGCGAGCATCATAGGCAGCAGCTAAACCCACTGAGCCATAACACCAGCCTTTTTTTTTTAAACACTATTTTATCTTATTTATTTCTTGAACTCCAAACCTGAGATTTATTTTTATTTAAGATTTATTTTACTTGTTTGAAAGGCAGAGTGACAGAAAGGGAGAGATAGAGATCTCCCATGCTCTGGTTCACTCCCCAAGTGGTCAAAATAACTGGGGTTGGGTCAGGCTGAAACCAGGAGCCTGGAACTCCATCTAGGTCACTCATGTAGGGGGCAGAGGCCCAAGTACTAGGGCCATTTTCTGCTGCTTTCCCAGGCTCATGAGTAGGGAGCTGAATCGGAAGCAGAACAGCCAGGACTCCAACAGATATTCCAGTATGGGATGCTGGTATCACAGGCTGTGGTTTAATCCACTGAGCCACGCTGCCAGCCACAAGGTTTATTCTTTAAACATTGCTTTTGTACCTTATAACTCACTTTAGCAAAGCCCCAGGTTGTCAGAGCTACAAACTTGAATTTCATAAATAATTTAGAGTCCAAGTCTTAGTAATATATAAATAAAGACTGCATGAATATCTATTCAGAGACACAGAGAAATCTCAGTATTGCATTTTCTGGATACTTTAAGTCTGAAGTCCAGAGTGAGATTAGAAAATAGAGTTTGTTTTCCAGATTGACAGGAAATGTTAGCACAGCACTTAATTTGTGAGGTTGAACCCAGTGAGAGTTTTCTGGTTTGTTAATGATTAAAATTAATGGTAATGAACAACTGTTATATGTATCTTCATCTGTTCACCTAGATTTTATTTTTTTTCTATTTGAAAATCTTCTATGACCAAGCATATGAATAGTTGAACCCAACTCAATATAGTATTTTTTAAGCCTATGATTAGTCATAGAAAAACTTGGCAGAGGAGCTGGCACTGTAGTATAGTTGGCTGAGCCTGCGCGTCGCGTGCAGTGCCAACACCCCATATGGGCGCTGGTTAATGTCCCGGCTGCTCCACTTCTGATCCAGCTCTCTGCTATGGTCTGGGAAAGCAGTAGAAGATGGCCCAAGTGCTTGAACCCTGCACCTGCATGGGAGACCTGGAAGAAACTCCTGGCTCCTGGCTTCAGATTGGCCCAGCTCTGGCCATTGCAGCCATTTGGGGAGTAAACCAGGGGATACAAGACCTCTTTCTCTGTCTCTCCCTCTCTCTGTCTGTAACTCTACCTCTCAAATAAATAAATCTTAAAAAGCTTGGCAGATTTTGATATACATTTTTTGAATCCTCAGTTGTTGAGAAATATGAGCATATATAACAATTGAGTATGTGAATGATATTTTAGAGATATTCTTCCATCTAGCAGACATATGTATAAATTTTAATACTCAAGTACATAATCAAAATTTATGAATTTATTTTTATTGGTAACCGTTTTAGTTATGACTCAAGTACAAATTATATGAATGATTTGTTTATATTTTTGAACAATGATTGTCCAAATTACACTGTTTTTACATGTGAGATTAACTGGGAAGCTTAAAATTATGTAATTATTTAGATTGGGCCTCAATACACAAAATTCAGCCTGTTAGGATGATACCTAATGATGTTAGTTATAAAACAGCATCTGTGAATAGGTGGATAATACTAACTGGTCTATTAATTCTTATAAGATTAATAACTGAGAAAATACACTTTTTCCAAAAGTCTCAGTCAAGCCAAATGTTAGATGCAAGGCCCTTAGTAAATTCAGAATTGATTTTCAAAGTTCAGTCTGAGTTCTTTCTCTGACATGTGAAGACACAGTGAGAAGGTGGTTTATCTGTAAGCCAAGGAGAGGGCCCTTAGCAGACACCAAACCCTGCTGGAACTTAGTCTTGGACTTTTCAGCCTCCGGAACCATGACAAAATTTGTTTTTTAAGCCACACTTCCTCTCTTTCCCTCTCTCATACACACACACACACCAAAACTCAACACAAGGTCATCAGATTTATTAAAAAGTTAACTTGGGCTTTAAGACTTAAACAGAGCAGATGGCATTTATTCAGTAATATATGAAAATATCTACCCTAACAGGTAAATATTGGGAAGATGGATTCACCCATTGAAAAGTGGAATCTAATAATTGGCAACTTGGCTTTAAAGCAGGTAAGTAGTACACATATTTGTTTACAGATCTTGGCCTTATGGACCTTGGGTCCATAAGAATGATATAAATTGAGTACTCTGAAGTCTACCATTATTTCAGTATCTTGAAAAAGTGATGAAATGATACTCATGACCTCTGAAAGTTACTCTTTTTTTTTTTTTTGGACAGAGTTAGTGAGAGAGACAGACAGAGAGGTCTTCCTTTTTCCGTTGGTTCACTCCCCAAGTGGCCGCTGCGAGCTGGCATGTTGCGGACCGCACGCTGCGCCGATTGGAAGCCAGAAGCCAGGTGCTTCCTCCTGGTCTCCCATGCGGGTGCAGGGCCCAAGCACTTGGGCCATCCTCCACTGCCCTCCCAGGCCACAGCGGAGAGCTGGACTGGAAGAGGAGCAACCAGGACAGAATCCAGTGCCCCGAATGGGACTTGAACCCGATGTGCCGGCACCACAGGCGGAGGATTAGCCTAGTGAGCCGCAGCGCTGGCTGAAAGTTACTCTTAACTAGAAATTGATTGAGTTCTTCCAAATAGGAAAAATATAGAAAATATAAAAAAGCAAAACATTTTCTATCATAGATTTGTAATAAAGGCAGAATTTGTGTTAGTGTCTGTAAAAGTAAATATATGACACTTCATTGTTTGGGTGCTATTTTTCTCCTTTGATTTTTTTTTATAAATATATCATCTGCCTAACTGAGCTTTTTCCTATATATTTTGATCAGCCATTTGTCTGAGATTTCTTTAAATTTTTAATGTTATTAGTCTTAACATAAATGGATGCATTAAAGTACCCATTATGTATGTAGTAAGCCAGAGATTTTGTATAATCTATGGCTGTTCCTAGTCTTAGGTGAGTATCCTTTCTTCCTTTCTCCCTACTCTTTCTGTCTTCAAGACAGAAGACTGCAGTTAACCTAGGCATTTTCTAGCTAGTATGAGATTAGGGGATGCACAGTAATTTTAACGTTGAGCAGGATAAGAGTTGGAGGTGACTGGGGATTCACTGAATCTGGTTTTACCATGTCTTTTTCTGCCTCATACCTTCAAGGATGTATGAAGAACAGGGAATCCAAGCCGCCCCTTGAGGACAGAACTGGTGCCAGCTAGTGAGGCAGCATTAGTTGGAGCCCAGTTAGTAGTAGAAAAAAGCATGAAGAAAAGAAGGTAGAGGAGTATGGGTGAGGCTGAAGGAAGAGATTGTTCTCTCCCTGAGTCTTCCCTGTTGAAACTTGTGAGGCAGTAGATGAGTGTGGACAGGGGACAGAGCTAGGTTGACACAAGGCTTCTTTGCCTGGAGACTGGCTGTGAGGTTGGAGGTGGAGAGGGTGGAAAGGACAGAGGAGGCTCATGCTCTCACTTGCTGGAGGGGGTGTACTCTTTGGGGTATTAATTTGGGTCCCAAGCTGATTACCTGTCAAGGGTTTCTTCACTATTTTACAGAATAGCTGCTGGGGCCAGTGTATAATTTGTCAAATAAAGCAAAGTGCACAGTTCCATCTGAGGAACTGTTACCTTACCACAAGGGGTATGCCCTGCACCAGTATCTCCCATTAACCCCCCAGCCACTACTTGAACCCAGACTTTGCTTTCTCTTGGGTACCGTTATTTTTCAAGCAGTCATCTTTTTGTAGGTTTACAGAATAGGAGTTCCTCATCTCAGCTGTGTGCTTTTGTTTCCTTAGAAACACACACTCACACTGCGATACCTGCAGCAGTTCCCTAGCCTTGTGTTAGAGTGTCAAACCAGAAAAGACTTGGAATCACAGTATTAGAATTTATATTATTAATTTTACTACTTTAAGGTACTATTATTTTGTTATTTATTAACCAATATAAAAATGCTGAATTATTTTAACAACCACTACAGTTGCAGTGGTGCTTATAGCTTGAATCTGAGCTCTGAATCTGTGGGTGACATCAACAAGAGCTCTAATAAGTGGTTGAGAACTATGATTTAGCATATAGAACGATTGAATATGTGAATCTGGGTTATCTGGACTGTCTGTTTCTGTCTGTCCCTTTAATGTGCCATATGGCAAAGTCAAACTTATTCGGGAATTTTTCACTCAGAGCACTTGATTCCAGTTTGTGGATTGGCTTCTGTGAGTCTGTGAACACCAAGAAATTGTATTCAAAGCATGAGTGCTTCTGTAGCCCTGGAGAACTGTATTCTGTAGAGTTTTCACCGGGTTGCCAAAGGGTCCACGTGGCAAACGCAGTGAAGAATCAGCAGAATAAATGATTCCCTTAGGGGTTCTTTTAGTTCTGACATTGTGTTCATCTGATTCCTAGAGTTATTTGTAGTTTTTTGAGTGTTGCTTTGCGTTAGCACGTGAGAAATGCTTTGAGATTTAAATTCATTACATAAATGTATAAAGCTTGTTAATATCACTGCCATCTTACAGATTAGAAGCTGTAGGTTTTTTTCTTTCCTTTTTAAAAGTTTATTTTTTTTTTATTTGAAAGAGTTAGAAAGAAAGAGAGAGAGATACAGAGGGAGGTCTTCTACCCGCTGGTTCATTCCCCAAATGGCCCAGTGGTCGGGGCTGGGCCATACCAGGCCTAAGCTAGGAGCCAGGAGCTTCCTCCTCGTCTCCCACGTGGGTGCAGGGCCCAAGGACTTGAGACATCCTCTGCTGTTTTCACAGGCCGTTAGCAAGGAGTTGGATTGGAAGTGGAGCAGCCGGGACTGGAACTGGTGCCCATATAGAATGTGGGTGCTGCAGACAGTGGCTCAGCCTGCTATACCACAGTGCCTGTGTTGAAACTGAAAAATTTTTTAAAAAGATTTATTTATTTATTTGAAAGTCAGAGCTACACAGAGAAGGAGAGGCAGAGAGAGAGAGAGAGATATCTTCCATCTGATGGTTCACTCCCCAATTGGCTGAAGAGCTGGAGCTGCGCTGATCCGAAGGCAGGAGCTAGGAGCTTCCTCCGGGTCTCCTATGCGGCTGCAGGGGCCCGCGCACTTGAGTCATCTTTTACTGCTTTCCCAGGCATAGTAGAGAGCTGGATCACAAGGTGAGCAGCTGGGTTTCGAACCGGCACCCATATAGGATGCTGGCGCTTCAGGCCAGGATGTTAACCTGCTGCACCACAGCACCAGCCCTGAAACTGAAAGTTTTTAAAACATTAATCACCATAGTGATTGCTTGTGAGGCTATTTTTGAAATATCTGTCTTTCCTGAGGACCAAGAACTCTATGAGAAGAGGGACTAAATCTGTTTCGATTGCTGTTGTAGTCCAATACTAAACATAACATCTTGTATGTGATAGAGTCTAAATAAGTGCTAGTTGAATGAATGGATCTAAATAACTTGCCATAGGATTAAGTGGTAGAACCTATCATTTGACTATAAAATCCAATCTCTTGTTCACACTGTTTTTGAATCAAATTGCAGATAAGTGGATTGGGTGCTTTTCAGGCTGAAGGTATTGTTTTCTTTGGTGTGGATCAGACCATTGAAACCATTTGGGGTGCTTATTAAAAACAGATTCCTTGATCCCATTTTATGCCTGTTGCCACCAGATCAGGTCAGTTGGAGAACCTACTGTCTTAGGAAATATTAAAAAAATATAGTAGCTTCTTTCAGAGGTAAAGCAGCTCACTTACCATATGCAGTATTTCTTCTGTGTTCTTGTATGCAATGTTTATATAAGCAAAAACCTTTCAAGTATGTTTTTTAAATTAATAATTCAGTTGGATTTTATAAAAAAAAATTTAGGTGCAGGCAACAGTCGTTGGTTTTCTAGCAGCTGTGGCCGCAATTATACTGGGCTGGATTCCAGAAGGAAAATACTACCTTGATCATTCCATACTTCTGTGCTCCAGCAGCGTGGCAACTGCCTTCATCGCATCTCTCCTGCAGGGTAAGTGGATTTGTAAATACCTATGGTCTTGTACTTTTAAGTGATTTGTTTCTTGAGATGATTTTTAAAAAAAACAAACTTATTCATTATGAAAAGAACAGAAAAAACTTACCCACAAACTTTAAAAATAACTGAATTATTTTGATGCTTTTAAAGCTTATAAGCATTAGCATAGAACAGTCTTTCTGCAGTGGTCTCCTGACCTTAGACTCTCTGGTATAGCTGCCAAATAAGATCAGGAAAGTAGCTTAGACATTCATTTCTGTGAGTTAAGTTACTGGAAAAACTCCCTTTTGGAAATTACATAGGGGATTTCCTGGCTTGTCACTTGAGTTAACAACAAGTGTTCTAGGAATTCTGGGTTTTAAAGATAGTCCCTCAGTTAAAATTTGCTTAAGTCCAGATTTCAAAGAGATTCTTTACTTTTTCTGTAGCAATAAAAATACAATCTTAAGACAGCATATTGTTGGCTATAGAATTTTAAAGAGTCTAAATGTTTTAAAAATTAACTGCATTAGAGCTTTTCAGTTGGTGCTGCTTCTTCTTTATTTTAAAGATTTATTTATTTATTTGAAAGGCAGAGTTAGAGAGAAAGGGGAGATAAAGAGAGAGAAAGATATCTTCCATCCACTGGTTCACTCCCCAAATGGCTGCAATAGACAGAGCTGGACTGATCTGAAGCCAGGAGCCAGGAGCTTCTTCTACATCTCTTAGGTGGGTGCAGGGGCCCAAGCACTTGGGCCATTCTTGACTGCTTTCCCGGGCTATCAGCAGGGAGTTGGATCGGAAGTGGAGAGTGGAGCAGCCTAGACTTGAGCTGGTGCCCATATGGGATACTGATATTGCAGGCAGCGGCTCTACCTGCTATGCCACAGCTCCAGCCCTGGGTTATTCTTTATTGTATTTATTTATTAGTATGTGTTTTACAGTAGAGAATTAACTTAATATAGGATTGTACCGTAAAGGCTTGAAAGTCTAATGTTGGGTGATCATACACTGAAGCTGACTTTTTAAGATAGGTCCTGGGAATTCAGGGAGTCTTAATAAAATTAAGACTTCCAAAAATATTTTCAAGCATTTCATGTAAGTACTTAAATAGTATCAGGGGTAGTTTTTGTTTTTATATAAAATTATTAGATTTGAATGGCATTAACACTGCCTACACAAGAATGAAGTTAAGCTACTGAAAAATTATATTTCTGGTTAAAAAATAGTTTTAACATCAGCACTTTTTTCATTGGGTTCATTTGATTTTGTTTTCTTTCAGATTTTGTTTCATTTAGAAAATGTTAATATTTTACAGTTTAACAACTATTTGAAATGTCCTAGTATTTTCAAAACTCAGAGTTTTAAAAAGCTCAGATTTAAAAACATTTATTTAAAGCTTCTTGCTTTAAATAATGCATATTCTAATTTTATGATAACTTGATACTATTATGCAAAGTAGATACTATCTGCCACATTTTGTAGGTTAGAATATTGACTAAGACAGGTAAGAGGATTGTCCAGTTTCAGCATCTTGTCAGCTTCAGAATGAGAATTAAAATCCAAGTTTCCCGACTCCCAGCTCCTTGTACTATACCATGATGTATGCAACACTTTTTTTTTCAAAGATTTATCTTATTTTTTGAACGGCATAATTAGAGGGAGAGATGGAAAGAGATCTTAAATCTGCTGGTTCATTCCCTAAATGGCTGCAACAGCCAGGGCTGGGCCAGACCAAAGCCAGAAACCTGAAACTCCATTTGAATCTCCCACGTGAATGCAGGGGCCTAAGGACTTGAGTCATCTTCCCCTGCCTTCCCAGGTGCATTAGCAGTGAGCTGGATCAGAAACAGAGCAGCTGGGACTTGAACAGGCACCCAGTATGGGATGCTAGTGTTGCAGGCAGTGGCTTAACCTGCTGTACCACAATGCCAACAGCCATCAAAACTTTTTTTTGTTTTTCTGTTGTAAAGATAGAGTAGAGATGGCACTGTATCACAAGAGAACTTCCCATATAGATCTTTTTTTTTTTTTTTTTTTTGGCAGGCAGAGTGGACAGTGAGAGAGAGAGACAGAGAGAAAGGTCTTCCTTTTGCCGTTGGTTCACCCTCCAATGGCCGCCGCGGAGTTGATCCGATGGCAGGAGCCAGGTGCTTCTCCTGGTCTCCCATAGGGTGCAGGGCCCAAGCACTTGGGCCATCCTCCACTGCCCTCCTGGGCCACAGCAGAGAGCTGTCCTGGAAGAGGGGCAACCAGGACAGAATCCGGCGCCCGGACCAGGACTAGAACCCGGTATGCCGGCGCCGCAAGGCAGAGGATTAGCCTAGTGAGCCGCGGTGCCGGCCATATAGATCTTTAAATGTGCTGATTTTGGAAAAAATATGCAGCAAATCACATCTTGTTTGATTGTTGAATAATACATTCCTAAAACTTTTCTGCTATTGCTATTTTTCCTTTTTACAATGATATATGTGAAAGTAAGTTCAGTGATTGAAAAAAACTGCAAAGTATAAGATATGAGGCATTGTTTGAGGACAAAAATTCTAGTTTTTAAAAATTTTTACTTGAGGTGGGCACTGTGAAATAGTGGGTAAAGCTGCCACTTGCAGTGCCAGTATACCACATGGGCACCAGTTCAAGTCCTAGCTGCTCTACTTCTGATCCGGCTCCCTGCTAATGTGCCCGGGAAAACAACAAAAGGTAGGCCCAAGTACTTGAGTTCCTGCACCATGTGGGAGACCTGGAGGAAGCTCCTGGCTCCTGGCTTCGGCCTGGCCCAGTCCTGGCTGCTGCAGTCATTTAGGGAATGAACCAGTGGATGGAAGATATTTTCTCTCTATCTCACTCTGTGCCTCTGTGTCTGCCCCCTCCCCTGCCTCTGTTCTGCCTCTCTCAGTAACTCTGCCTTTCAAATAGATAAAGCTAAAAAAAAGAAAAGAAAGTTTTGACTTCATGGGGCAGTATTAAAAGCACTGACTAGAGTCATACAAGCTATGCACTTACGCAAACATTTAAACCCTATCCCAGAACCTTGCTATCATTATCCATAAAATGAACATGCAGGAATAAAAAGTTATTTTTACTCTAAAAATTCCATACTGATATATAGTTAATACATAAATAAACATTTTAGATTTTCTCTGTCCTGCATTCCCTTAATATGTTAGCATGGGAAAATCTATACAATTATGTTTTAATGTAAATGTTGATTTTTCTCCCATTTGTAGGATTCAATGGTAATTTAAGTGCAAGTACATAGTCACATTTTGCTCTCTTTTTGTCTGTTTATAGATAGAAGCTTTGGGTTAAAAGAGTATCTTCAACAAAGACTATTTCTTGTGTACTGGCTTTTAGTGTTCAAAATTTAATTACTTCCTGCTTCTTAGTATCTCAACACTTTAAATAATAAATGCAAGCATTTCTAGCTACCATATGTGAACAAATCTGTTTCTGTTGGTGATCTTCCTATACATGACTCAGCTTTCTTTAGTATTTTATACTTCATTTAGGTTTAAAGGTAAAATCTTTGGGTTTAATACACACAAATCTGATTAGATTTGAGACACCTATGTTACTAAATTTGAAATTTCAGATTTATTGTAACTTTTACAATACTTTTCAGATATCTAAAAACATCATTGAATTTTTCAAATCTCTTATGAGTCCTTTGGAATTTGGTGAAAACCATTTTGCCTGGGCATAAAATGTTTTGTTTGCTTTTGTCAACTCACTAAAACATTCTAACTAGAACTGATAGGCTGTTCGTCTGTCCTACATATTTTGGCATTTAGGGAATTGCTTTTCTTTAAATCATAGCACAAAAAGTAATGAACATTCTTTCTTCCAGGAATAATAATGGTTGGGGTTATCGTTGGTTCAAAGAAGACTGGTATCAATCCTGATAATGTTGCTACACCCATTGCAGCTAGTTTTGGTGACCTTATAACTCTGGCCATATTAGCTTGGATAAGTCAAGGCTTGTATTCCTGTCTTGGTAAGTTGACTTGAAACCAAATATAATGTCTTACTCAGAGTTTCTTTAAATAAATATTGTAGGGATGCCATGAATCATGGTGACCTTCATTTCATCTGTGTTAGCACTGTTGTTGAGCTGATTAGAATAACTGTTATTTGTTTTACACATACTATGTGTTATGGTTCTTAAATGTTTTTTCTCTTAGAGAATTTAAAACTATACAATCTCTAATTCTAATTGTATGCTACCCAAAATTACTTAACTAATTTGAGAGGATTGAATATAGATCTGTCTTATTCTAGGATTTCTGCCCTTGGTTCTAAAAGTGTAGCTAGCTGGAAGACCACCTATACTTTTCTGTTGTATATGTTGAACAGTTGTCCCAAAATGGAAGACTAGTGGTACTTGAGATTTACCAATGGGATGTTTTTCCTAACAGAAATCCACACCAGTAATTATCCTCCTGGCAATTAACAGAAAGAAAAAAAAAACATGAAAATTAGTCTGAATGCTTTATGAAGTAGGAATCATCCTGTAAACATAATTCCTAATGAACAAGGCAGAGTATTTATAAAATCGGGTGAATTGTTTTAATGTAGACTTGCACCCAGGACTACTGTCAATGGTAAATAAATAAGATTTCTGAGCATTTGTTAAATGCTAAATATTGGTTGTGGTTTTTATTTTTTTAGATGCCAGAAAAAATTAGGAAATGAACAGAAAGCAACATTAATACAAGAAAAAAAAATAGTTTATAAGGCAAGCCAGAGGCAAACATTTATTCACGTATCCTCATGTATTTTTCATGGGTTCTATACAGATTTGCTTCTTTAAACTAATTGGACTCTAGTTTTATTTTAAAATATACCACCAGATATATGTTCTCGAATGAAAGAAAGGGCTTTAACCTACCACAGGTGATGATTTTCTTTGACTTTTGGAGATATGAAAGGAAGCTTCATTTAATATATAAAATTACCTTAAATTATTTAATGAGTACGTAAAAATATTCAGTAAAACTTGAAGTAAATATTCAAGGAAAACGTTGTCATTTAGAAGACAAAGATGCATCCACTTGAAGTAATGTAAAGGCAATAGATGATCAGTGGCCTACACGTATGATCTTGTTCCCATAGGTGTTGACTTTTGTTGTGCAATATACAAGGAGGAATATATGTTCAGGTACACTCAGGGTGATGCTAAAGTCTCTTGTCTCCCACTCAAAAGATGCACGGAAAATGAGAATTATGCTATTAAAGGAATGACAACAATCTGCTGTGATTTATATTGTTGGGGTGACAAATTGGTCATTTTTTTTCTTCTCTGAATTATCGTACGATTTAGAAATAAATGCTGAAGTTGGGGGTTGAAATACTAACTTATGGCTGTTGTAAGAGAATGTGGCTTAATATTCTTTTCCTACTCTATGAGGGTATTAAACTTTCCCACCCACTCTTAGGCAGTTGGACAACTTGTAGTGTTCATCCCATGGGAAAGACCTGTATTGGAGAAGGGAGGCTGGTATCAGTAGATCTTTGGATCTTCAAAGAGAAAGCCAGTAAGGGCCTGAGTTAGGCATGCCCAATGCCCCTTTCTTTAGGCTTGCCAATTAGTTAAGTGTCTCCCACTTCAAAGAGGAGGTAAGAGGGGAGAAGAGTAGAAGAGGACGAAGGGTTTCTTTTCAAGATGACTAAGACAGAAATTCTATGGGACTACCCAGGAAAAGTTGAGAGTGAGAGTAAGGCTGGAGGATTGGCAGTAATTATGGGATGGTTTCCCCAATACTGCATACCTGAAAAAGAAAGGCATAGTGTTTGCAGGCTTGTATACTTAAAGTGCTACTAAGTAATTTATAACACATTTCTCAGCTATCAGGGTGTCTCATCCCTTGAAAAAAAAGTGGTGCAGCCGGGGCTGTGGTGTAGTGGGTGATAGTGGGTAAAGCCACCGTTTGTAGTGCTGGCATCCCATCTGGGCACCGGTTGGAGTCGATGCTCCACTTCAATCCAGCTCTTTGCTATGGCCTAGGAAAGCAGTGGAAGATGGCCCAAGTCTTTGGGCCCCTGCACCCATGTGGGAGACCCAGAGGCAGCTCCTGGCTCCTGGCTTCGGGTCTGCTCAGCTCTGGCTGTTGTGGCCATTTGGGGAGTGAGCTGGCGGATGGAAGATCTCTGTCTCTTTCTGCCTCTGCTTCTGCCTCTCTGTAGCTCTGCCTTTCAAATAAATAAATGAATCTTACAAAACAAAACAAAACAAAGTGGTGATAAAGATTCTTTTCTTGGCCAAACTTTAGTTAGACTGCTGAACTTTCTCCTAGGCTCATCTGTTCCCTTCCTTATAAAAACCAGTTTTAGCAAAGGAACCCTGCTGAGCCAGTTCAGTCCCAACAGCCCCTCCACCCCACCCCCACCTACCTGGTTACCTTTGATCTCTGATCAGCTTCTTCATCCTCTACCATCTCCTAGGTGATGTCTGATCACCTTGGCCTGTCTTGAGCAGGAATCCAAGCTGTTTTAATTACTGTTATGCTTTGAAATTAGGTATTGTGTTGCTTCCAGCTCTATTTTTCTTGCTTAGGATTGCTTTAGCTATTTTTTTTAATTCCCTATGAATTTTAGGATTGTTTTTCTAACCTTGTAAAGAATGCCATTGGTATTTTGATAGGGATTGCATTGAATCTGTAGATTGCTTTAGGTAGTATAGACATTTTGATGATATTGATTCTTCCAATCAGTGAGCAAAGAATATCTTTCCATTTTTTTCTGTCCTTGGTGATTTCTTTCATCAGTGTTTGATAATTTTCATTGTAGAGATTTTTCTTTAGTTAAACTTATTCCTAAATGTTTGCTTTTTTGTATGGCTATTGTGAATGGGCTTTCTGTCTTGATTTCTCTTTCTGTGAGTTCATCATTAGCATATCAAAAAGCTACTGTTTTTTTGTATGTTTATTTTATTACCTGTAACTTTATTGAATTGGTTTATCAATTCAACAGCTTTTTTGATGGACTGTTTAGGTTTTTCCATTTACTACATATATTATGTCATCTACAAACATGGATAATTTGATTTCCTCTTTTCCAATTTCGATATCCTTTATTTCTTTTGCCACCCTAATTGCTGTTGCTAAAACTTCCAGTACTTTATCAAGTGAATAAAGTGGTGAAAGTGGACATATTTGTCTTGTGCTAGATCTGAGGGGAAATGCTTTTGGTTTTTTTCTCCATTCAGTATGACACTGGCTGTTGGTTTATGATATATAGCCTTTATAATTTTGAGTAATGTTTCTTCCATACCTAATTTGTGGAGAGATTTTATCATGAAGGGGTGTTGAATTTTAGCAGATGCTTTCTCTGCATCTATTGAAATGACCATGTGGTTTTTCTTCTTCATTCCATTGATGTGGTTTATGGTGTTTATAGATTTGTGAATGTTGAAACACTCTTGTATTTCTGGAGTAAATCGCACTTGATCGTGGTGAATGATCTTTTTGATGTGGTTTTGGATTTGACGTGCTACTGTTTTGTTGAGAATCTTTGCATCTGTGTTCATTAAGAATATAAGTCTGTAGTTTGTGTGTGTGTGTGTGTAATGTCTTTATCTGGTTTTGGTATCAAAGTAATGCTGGCCTCATAAAAACAGTTTGACAGAGTTCTATCCTATTCAATATTTTGGAATAGTTTGAAGAGTATTAGAGTTACTTCCTCTTTGAATGTTTTGTAGCATTCAATAGTAAAGCAACCAGGTTCTGAACTTTTCCTTGATGGAACACTTGTCATTACTGCTTCAATCTCATTGCTTGTTATGGGTATGTTTAGGTTGTCTATATCTTCTTGAACTGATCTTGGAAGGTTATATGAATCTAGGAATTTAACCATTTCTTTGAGGTTTTCCATTTTTTTGGCATATAGTTCTTCGTAGTAGTTTCTTATGATCCTTTGTATTTCAGTGGTATCAGTTGTAATGTTTCCTTTTTTCATCTCTAATTTTATTTGCTTGCATTTTTTCTTCTATTTTAATTTGTTAATTTGGCTAGAGGTTATGTATTTTGTTTATCTTCTCAAAAAACCAATACTTTGTTTTGTTGATGTTTTGTGTTACCTTTTAGTTTCAATTTCATTGATTTCTGCTCTGATCCTTATTATTTGTTGCCTCCTGCTGATTTCAGGTTTGATTTGTTCTTGTTTTTCTAAGTGTTCAAGATGCATCATTATATCTTTAAGACATTTCTCTTTTTTATAGCACTAAGCTATAAACTTCCCTCTTAATACTGCTTTTGCTGTATCCCACAGGTTTTTTTTTTTTTTTAAAGATTCATTTATTTATTTTAAGGGCAGAGTTACAGAGAGGCAAAAGGAGGGAGGGAGAGAGGGAGAGTGAGAGAGAGGAAGAGAGAGGTCTTCCATCTGCAGGTTTGCTGCCCAGATGGCTGCAATGGCCAGAGAAACCAGGAGCCAGGAGCTTCCTCCTGGTCCCCTAAACAGGTTCAGGGGTCCAAGGGCTCAGACCATCTTATACTGCTTTCCCAGGCCATAGCAGAGAGCTGGGTTGGAAGTGGAGTAGCTGGGACTCGAACCAGCGTTCATATGGAATACTGGCAGTGCAGGTGGCTGCTTTACCCCACAGGTTTTTATATGTTGTGTTTTCATTTTCATGTATTTCAAAAAAGTTTTTGATTTCCTTTTTAATTTCTTCAGTGGTCCTTTTTAATTTCTTCAGTGACATGCTGTTTAATTTCCAAGTATTGATGAATGTCCTATTCTTGTTGATTTCTCATTTTGTTCCTTTATCATCTGAGAAGATACATGTTATGATTTCAGTCTTTTTAAATTTGCTGAGATTTGATTTGTGGGCTAATATGTGGTCTATCCTAGAAAACGATCCATGTGCTGGTGAGAGTAATGTGTATTCTGTAGCTCTTTGGTGAAATGGCCTATAACCGTTTGTTAGGTGCATTTGCTCTATAGTATGTTTCAGCTCTGATGTATCTGTATTGATTTTTTTGGTCTGGATAATCTGTT